CTGAGAGATGTAAATTAAAACTACAATGAGATACCATCTCACCCCGACAATACTGGCAATAATCAAAAAGCACAAATTAATAAATGTTGGAGAGGTTGCGGGGAGATTGGAACTTTTTTTTTTCCAAAGTGTTCTATAATCTGTGCTGTCTAGTACAATAACCACTAACTACATGTGGTTATAAGCATTTGAAATGTGGCTAGTATGACTGAGAAAGTACATTTTAAATTTTATTTAAATTAAAATTAAACTTAAATACTCACGTGCCTGGTGGCTACTGTATTGAATGGCACCGCTATGGAAACTTGGTTTTAGGCTTTGTTTGGGTGTGTCTATTTGGGTTTTGCCCTAATTCCTAGGGCATAGCCTTTAGTCTGGGAAGTAGTCCTTACTGTGGTCTTGCCTGCCGATGTTGGTATTCATCGAACTTCACAACCTGTCAGCAAGAGCCCTGATCTCTGACCTGCCCATCTTGGGTTCGTCAGCCGTGGCTATGTGAATCAGGAGAAGCCTCTATCCTGACCCACAGACTTGAGATGTTCCAGCCTCTACAACTGCATGAGCCATTTCCCTCATATAACCTCTCTCTATACATGTTTATACACTTTACTGGTTTTGTTTCTCTAGAGAACCTGGCCTAAGACAGTTGCCAATTTGGATGCCCTTTATTTCTTTTTCTTGCCTATTGCTATAGCTAGGACTTCCAGCACAACGTTGATTAAGAGTGGTGATAAAGGGCATGCTTGTCTGGTTCCCGTTCTCAAGGGGAATGCTTTCAGTTCTCTCTACATTTAGAGTGATCTTGGCTGTTGGTTTTGTATAAATGCCCTTTATTATGTCAAGGAATTTCCTTTCTATTCCTATTTTGCTGAGAGTTTTTGTCAGGAATGAGTTTTGGACTTTGTCAAATGCCTCTTCTGCACTGATCTGTAAGATTATGTGGTTCTTTTCTTTTGCTTTATTTATGTGGTGGACTATGATGATTGATTTTCTAATGTTGAACCATCCCTGCATACCTGGTATGAATCCTACTTGGTCATGATGTATTATTTTTTTGATATGTTGTTGGATTCTATTGGCTAGAATTTTGTTGAGAATTTTTGCGTGTATGTTAATGCGGGATATTGGTCTATAGTTTTTTTGTGGTGTCTTTGCCTGGCTTTGGTATCAGGGTTATGCTGGCTTCATAGAATGAGTTTGGAAGTATTCCTTCCTTTTCTATGCTCTGAAATAGCTTGAGTAGTATTGGTGTTAGCTCTTCTCTGAAAATTTGGAGGAATTCTCCAGTGAAGCTATCTGGGCCAGGGCTTTTTTGATGTTGTTGGGAGATTTTTTTTAAATACCTCTTCAATCTCTTCTTTTGTTATGGGTCTGTTTAGTTTTTCTACCTCAGTTTGTGTTAGTTTAGGTAGGTAGTGTGTTTCTAGAAATTTGTCTATTTCCTCTAGGTTTTCAAATTCGTTGGAGTACAATTTTTCATAGTACTCTGTTACGATCCTTTTTATTTCAGTTGGGTCTGTGTTTACGCAGTCTTAAGCAGCAGGAGAGAAGGCTTGGTTCCAATCATTTCTCACAGCTCATTAAGACTTTTTGTAACCATAAACAAACTAACAATAATAGAAAACAAAGATAAGCTTGCAGCAAAAATAAAATTAATAGAGTTCTCTTCTCACTAAGCCTCTTGTTTTAGATGGGTTCAAGGCTTCCTCCATTAAAACGAGAGCAATAAGGATAGGTTGAGCTATGAAAGCAAGGAAATACGACAGGTTTAAGAACTACACCTAGAAAGAACTTTCAGTGTGGTTACTGGCACATGAAAGTATCTGGAAGCAAACAGAGCATACTAAATATTCAATGGAATAGTATTGAAACAAAATAAAAAATGGACAAGCCTCGCCTACAAAATCACTCAGTTGGTCAAGTTCTAAAGCATCATCCATCCAAAGAGGGCATACTTTCCAACATACAGCTAACTTGTATCTGGAAAGCAAAGCTTGGGCCTACAGAATAAAATGGACAACGGAGATCTTCAGAGAGCAAGACCAGGGACTAACCAAAGAATTTATTCCACTACCAGGGCACTGTTGTTATTGTTAGGTGCCGTCAAGTTGATTTTGACTCACGGCGACCACATGCAACAGAGTAGAACTGCCCCATAGGGTTTTCTAGGCTGTAATCTTTACAGCAACAGGTTAGTATTCTACCACTGCTATGGACCAGTAACTACCATGTTTCTCATTCAGTACCTGGTTATCCTCTTCCTACTCCACTATTATATTTTATTGTGTTGTATGTGTGGGTATGGGGCAGATAACTTGTTTTGTGTTTTTTAGTGTACAAGTCTCCGGACCATGAAAAAGCCACATCACAACCTGATAGAGAGGACTGTGCATCACCAGATATCCTGGATTTTGAGCTGGATATAGAAACTGGATAGGAAATTGAAAGTTTTTCCTTAGTTGGGGAGAATAAAGGTGTTCTGCTGTGAGAAGGATACACACAGGTATTTTGGTAGTCAGAGGGAAGATTGTGGTAGAGACTGCCGATTGTCTGTCCAAATTCACTCATTCTTTCCTTCCATTCTTTTCTTCTTAAGCATAAGGCTTTCCAACTGGAAACTAAATTTCCAGTTTTACTGTTGCTTGGCATAGTCACGTGGCTAAATTCTTGCCAACAGAATGTGATCTGAATTGATGTGTGCAATCTCCACATTACTTGCTTAAAAGGAAATCCTTGTTTTGGTCGTCTTTTTTTTTTTCTCCTTCTCAATGCTGGAACATGCCATTTTTCACAGATTAAGATGATAAAAATCCCCAAGTTTGACATCCTTTGTAGACAAGGCTGTTGGAAAATGCACTTGTATATATTGCTGGTTGTCTTTGTTAGGTGCCATTGAGTCAATTCTCGATTCATAGCGAACCCATGTGACAGATTGGAACTATCCTATAGGCTTTTCAAGCTGTAATCTTTACTGAAGCAGATGGCGACGTCTTTCTCCTGCAGAGTCCCTGGGTGGGTTCCAACTACTAACCTTTTGGTTAGCAGCCAAGTGTTTAACCATTGCACCACCAGGAGAACTCCTTTATATTGCTGGCAGGAAGTCAAAATGGTACCATTCTTATAGAGTGCCATTTAGCAAAATCTATCAAAAATCGTAACTACATTTACCTTTGGATTCTCTTCTGGGAATGTATTCTTCCTGTACACATATAAAATGATGTGTGTACAAGGTTATTCATTGCAGAATTGATTGATCAGAAACAATTTATGTATCTAGCTACAGGGATTAAATAACCAATGGCATAACCTCACTATGCAATACTCTCCAGCTCTAAAAAATGAGGAAGCTCTCTGGACTTATATGGTAAGATCTCCAGGAAAAGTGAAAAAAGCAAGGGCAGAACAATGGCATACTGTGCTATCTTTTGTCAAAGCAAAAAGGGAAAGATAAAAATTTACATTTATTTACAGAAAGAAATACTATAAGAATACACAAGTAATGAATATAATTACATATAAAGGAAAGGTGACTATGTACTTTGTCATCCACATGGAACAGAATGGGTTTTAGAGTGAAAGGGAGTACTAATAATTGCTCCAGGACAACAGATGTAAAATAGCACCATCCTGAACAAACCGGGATGTATGATATATAAAAGGTATAGCTATATAAAAGGTACAGAGTGGTAGGGGGAATGAGAAAGGGTTTTTATTGTATTTTACAAATCCACATTTGTGCTCATTCCAAGAAAGGTGGTACAACAGAATGTGGAAATTGCCAAACAGTATCATTAATATCACACACAAGTAAAATTTTGCTGAAGATAATTAAAAAATGGCTGCAGCAGTACATCGACGGGGAACTGCCAGAAATTCAAGCTGGTTTCAGACAAGGACATGGAACAAGGGATATCATGGCTGATGTCAGATGGATCTTGGCTGAAAGCAGAGAATACCAGAATGACATTTACCTGTGTTTTATTGATTATGCAAAGGCATTCGACTATGTAGATCATAACAAATTATGGATAACGTTTCGAAGAATGGGAATTCCAGAACACTTAATTGTACTCATGGGGAACCTGTACATAAGACCAGGAGGCAGTAGTTCAAACACAACAAGGGGATACTGCGTGGTTTAAAATCAGAAAAGTTGTGTGTCAGGTCTGTATCCTTTCACTGCGCTTATTCAATCTGTAGGCTGAGCAAATAATCTGAGAAGCAAAGACGTCACCGTGAGGACTAAGATGCGCCTGACCCAAGCCGTGGTACTTTTCAATTGCCTTATAGGCATGCTTAAAGCTGGACAATGAAAAAGGAAGACTGAAGAAGGATTGATGCCTTTGCATTACGGTGTTGGCGAAGAATATTGAATATACCATGGACTTTCAGAAGAACAAATAAATCTGTCTCGGAAGAAGTACAACCAGAAAGCTCTTTAGAAGAGAGGATGGCAAGACTTGGTTCCATGTACTTCAGACATGTTATCAGGAGGGACCAGTCCCTGGAGAAGGACATCATGCTTGGTAAAGTAGAGGGTCAGTGACAAAGAGGAAGACCCTCAACGGGATGGACTGACAGAGGCTGCAATAATGGGCTCAAACATACCAGCGATTTTGAGGGTGGTGCAGTACTGGGCAGTGTTTCGTTCTCGTGTACGTAGTCGGTAGGAGTCGAACTGACTAGAGGGCGCCTAACAACAACAAAACTATCAGTCTGTGATGAATTGTAAATAAAAATAACTCGTTCTTTACCAGAAGTAGTTTAAGAAGCACTGCCTTAAAGAACGAGGAACAGTAAAACGCAGACATAAAAAGATACAGAACTTAGTGAGGCAGGCACTTGCTGAGTTGCACAAGCGACACATTCCTTTGGAGTTCATCAGCCAATCCGAAGTCGGAGAGAACCAGCCTGAGTCTGTGGGAGAGGCCTGGGCAGGTCCCTAACGTGAGGCGTGCAGTTTCCCGCCACTCAATTCTGAAGGTGAAGCTAGCGCACCCTCCCACACCCGTTCACTTCCGGCGCTCTGGCCAACTCACGCGCTGCTCTGTGGCATCTCGGGTTCCCTCTAGCTGCACTCTGGAGGACCACACTCAGTTTCTTTTTGGCGGCGGTAGGCCCCGCAGCCGCGGCTGAGCTGGAGGAAAGATGGCGGCAGCGGTGCGGCAGGATTTGGCCCAGCTCATGAATTCGAGCGGCTCTCATAAAGATCTGGCGGGCAAGTGAGTATTTCCCAGGGGCACGGTAGTAGAGGTGGGAAGGGAAGTCACAGTATTTGTTGTCCTTGGACTGATAGCGGCTCTTGGGTGTAAGGGTAGGAGCGGGCCTGTAGACCAAGGGGGCGGGCCTGAGGTCGGTTAGAGAGGCAAATGTTGGGAGCAGCAGAAAGCTGGAGGGGTCCTTGTGCTGGAGCCCTCGGGGCCGTAGTCCTGGGATGACTGTGAACTTATTCAGTTTTTGATAGCATCCTTACAGGCTCCTTAAAATCGTGGAATCCTGGTCTGCGGAACGACTGCTTCCAGGGCTTTCTCAGCCTCTTCTTTTCTCTGGCCGGCCTCTCACACCGAATTCTGTCTTCTCTTTGAGACTCCCCCTACTCTTTTTTTTAAATTGAGGGAAATTCATATTTTGGAACCTTGCTTAAGAATTTCCCGGGGACATGACTGGGTTGACTGGGGTTGAGGAGGTATGGCCGCTATCATGTCGCCCAGAATCACTCGAAATATCTGTGAGTTCTTGTGTTTTTGGTACTTTCTCTGCCACCATCTCTGAAGAAGAGGAGATATATTTCTGTCACATAGGCGGAGTGCCCTTGTAACGAGGGTCAGGATGTCTAGTGTAGTGATAACTGCAGGAATCTGGATTGTTAGAGTTTTGTCGGAATTTGTGTAGAAGGCTTTGGTTCACTCCAAGGTAGAATGCAAAACTTGTGACATGTGTTTGTCTCTCACTGCCCTAACTCGTAGTCAGTGCAGTGTTAGCTAGCGACTCTAGCTAGCTAAGTTGCTTTCTGAGAAGTCTTGGTATTTTCTGCAGGTACATATTCTTTTGTCCACTTTCCAGCAGGAATGAAGTGTCTTCCTATGTGGGCAAGAATGTCAGGATATTTATCTTCATAACAGCAGTTCTGCCAGATACATGCCTTATGAGAGAAACACTTTTGAAGTAGAGCAGTTGTTTTAGGGTTTATGCTAGGAGCTAGATAGCAAAGGATTCTATATTAGTGAATGATAGAGTAAGTTGGTTTTCTAAAATATTGATACTCTATGTTCCCAGTAATTAGCAAGATAACTAAAAAAGTAGTTTAATAAATAGTGGTTGAAACGAATAACTAGAAAGAGGGAGAGCTGATGTTTGAGCTTAGGTCTGTCTATTCTAGCAAGCTAATTTTTTTTTCAATGTCTTCATTTATATTTCTTTTTTTTAAAAAATTTTTATTGTACTTTAGATGAAGGTTTACAGAACAAACTAGGTTTTCATTAAACAATCTGTACACAAAGTGTTTTGTGACACTGGTTACCAACCCCACGATATTTCAACACTCTTTCCTTCTTGACCTTGGATTCCCTATTACTAGCTTTCCTGTCTCCTCCTGCCTTCTAGTCCTTGTCCCTGGGCTGGCGTGCCCCTTTAGTCTCGTTTTGTTTTATGGGCCTGTCTGATCTTTGGCTGAAGGGTGAACTTGAGGACTAGCAAGCTAATTTTTAATTCATCAGACTACACTCTGACTTAGAAATTCTTTCATATGATTGTGAATTAATACACCTCTCTCAGGTTGATATAAAAAGTTGGTTTTTGCAAATTTTATAGATTGCTTTTGTATATATTTTGCATTGTGTTTTAGTAGCTCATGTAAAGACACAGGTGGTGAATCATAGGATTTAGTACAAGGAAAATTTCTCTCCAACAGATTTAGGTAACTTACTGTTTTCCTTTCCCCCTTAGCTAACAGGTGAGTTGTGTGTTCATTGTCTTATCTTAGGGCTTACTGCCCGAATTAATGAATTTCAACACTTTTGACATTTTTGTCTATCTTTTTTTCTAACATTGTATTTTGAAACTTTTTAAACATACAGCATAGTGAAGAGAATTTTACAGCAAGTACTTGTATACCCACATAGATTTTTCCATTAACATTTTATTATACTTTTTCAGTATCTGTCCATCTTGCATTTGTATTTTTTATTGCATATTGCATCAAATTATCTATCATGGTAAAATGGCTGTGTCAGACCTCCTCATTCAACTTCAGGAGGAGGGGAGAGAATCAGCATCAGCCCAAAGCTGATTCCTATGAGGTGGAGGTCAAACATGCCTCCGTGTGCCAGCCTTTTGACACCAGCTGTCCCTCCCAAGGCATTCTCTACTTCTCTACTGGGTTCAGTAATTCATTGCAATGGCCACACAGAACTCAGACCATACTCACAATTATGGGGTTTATTAGGGAAGTAACAGGTTACAGATCAGGATCAACTTGGAGGTAACGGGAGCAACTCAGGATACAGTTCTTTGATTAGGACAGCTTCTTCTCGGAGTATTGCTCCAGCTGGGCCCTATTCGGCTTCTTTTCAGCTGTGCCCACAGGCAGGCCTCTGCTGCCTCCAGTGTTAAACAGCTCTGTCTCCTGGGTCTAGGAGGTTCTCAGCGTAGGAAACCTGGTTCCAAAGGACGCACTCTGCTCCCAGCTGTTCTTCTTGATGGTAGTGAGGTCCCCCTCAACCTCTAGGATTGGCTCTTTTTAATCCTAGTGGGATGGCAAAACTGACCATTCCCCTTGGTGGGTGACAGGCGCCTTTTTTGCATATCCCAGCGAGTCATTTTGTGGGAGTTATAAGACCATGGCCAGAAAGGCCATACAAAAAGAGAAACTCATTGCCCTGCAGAAGCATTTGAGTATTTTTTAAAAGGAAGTTATATGAGGTTGAACCGTATGAATATTAGGAGTTTTACATGGTTTGACCTAATAGAATATAGGAAACTTATTTGCCTAAGGTAATATGCTAGTGTTGCTTAGAAAAGTAGAATTCATAGATAAGATTAAGTATGGTTTATTCACCCTTTATTCCCCCTAAATTTTATTGTGGTAAAATATACATAACATAAAATTTGCAATTTTTAACATTTTTAAGTGTACAATTCGGTGGCATTAATTAAATGCACAATGTTTTTGTTTATTTACTTTTTGATCATTTTTAGCCATATTTTTCTAGAATTAACTTCCGTGACTTTTTTTTGTTCAGGTTTTTATTAAATAGGGTGGGAAGTTGAAGTTATATGCCATAATGTGTTTTCATAGTAGTGAATTTTGTCATTGCTGCAGCCTCAGATTCAGTTCTCTCTTGGTAGACTGTTTTAGTTGGTAGATAGAAGTTTTTTTTTTTTCCTTACAAATTACCTACTATTGCCTAGAGAGGCACACTTCATTTATAATTTATGGTAGCTACTAGGGAGCCATCGTGGCCCAGTGGTTAAGAGCCTGGCTGCTAACCAAAAGGTTGGCAGTTTGAATCCACCAGTTGCTCCTTGGAAACGCTATGGGATGGTTCTGCTCTGTCTTATAGGGTTGCCATGAGTTGGAGTCGACTCATTGGCAACGGGTTTGAGTTGGTTTTGGTTTGGTAGCTACTAGCAAATGACCGCTAATCCTCTTACTTTGAAACATGTGCAAACAGAGTCTCTACAGAGCACAGGCTGGTCATCTAGTGAATCCTGTGGAAAACCCCAGTCTGTAGGCTTAATTTAATCTCCCTGCTACCCTATCCTCCCAGATTGCTAAGGACAGGTAACCAAGATTAATTATTAGCCCTCTGCAAGCTCTGCACCTGAAGAAGGACAAGATAATATGAAAACCAGAATTCTTTACATAGCAATCCTCTTATGCAGGAAGCCCTAGCCATTTGGGAAGGAGAAATCTGTTACCTTTATTAAGTTTTAATAAATTGGAGCCAGTGAGGAATGGGAGTGGTGGTGGAGCTAGTGTTTTGAAACCAATATATTTCCACTGGGGAGAAGGTAGTAGCTGGAAATTAGCTCCTGTATGTCTTTTTTTCACTCTCTGCCATATACTTCTGAAAGTATCTGTACATAGGTGTCTTAGTCACCTAGTGCTACTCTAACAGGAATACCACAAGTAGATGGCTTTAACAAAGAGAAGTTTATTTGCTCACATTAAAGTAGGCTAAAAGTCCAAATTTAGGGCATCAGCTCCAGGGGAAGGCTTTTTCTCTTTGTCAGCCTTGTTCTCATCAGTGTTCGCCCAGACTAGGAGCTTATCTGTGCAGGGACCCTGGGTCCAAAGGACACGGTCTGCTCCTGGCACTGCTTTCTTGGCGGTATGAGGTCCCCCTGTCTCTCTGCTCACTTCTGTCTTTTATATCTCAAGACATTGCCTCAGGGCACAATCCAATCTTATAGACTGAGTCCTCCCTTACTAACACAACTGCCGCCCATCCTCCCTCATTAACATCATAGAGGCAGGATTTACAACATATAGGAAAATCATACAATACCAGGAATCATGGCCCAGCCAAATTGATGCACACATTTTTTTGGGGGACATAATTCAATCCATGACAGTAGGGAAGCTAGTAGATGTAGTATTCTCCAACCACTTTTCCTTTTCCACTTGAAATATTCTTACCTACGGAGAATTGCTAGGTGAAAAAAGAGTGTAAAGTTTTTAAAGGCTTGTGCGGTGCAGTAAATTACTTAATATGACTGGGTGGGAACTATGCAGTTGAGGTGCTTGTGATCCACCAAGGGGATTGGATAGCTGTCTAATAATGTAAATAAGGTGCACAGCACCCTCGTGGGGGTGGGACCATGCAAATGGGGTGTATGGAACCCTGACAAGGGGATTGGCCGGTTTTGCCATCCTGCTAGCCTTAAAATGAGCCATCCCAGAGGTGGGAAGAGAGGATCTCAATACCACCAAGAAAGAAGAGCCAGGAGTGCAGTGTGTCCTTTGAACCCGGGATCCCTACGCTGAGAACCTCCTAGATCCAGGAGGCAGAGAGAGGAGCTGTAACACAGAAGACAGTGAGAGATGGTGGTGCGAGA